TTGTTCCACTGATGAATGATGAGGGACTGAAACATGTTGTTGTTCCACTGACTGAATGATGAGGTACTGAAACATGTTGTTGTTCCACTGACTGAATGATAAGGGTACTGAAACATGTTGTTGTTCCACTGACTGAATGATAAGGTACTGAAACATGTTGTTGTTCCACTGACTGAATGATAAGGGACTGAAACATGTTGTTGTTCCACTGACTGAATGATGAGGGACTGAAACATGTTGTTGTTCCACTGACTGAATGATGAGGGACTGAAACATGTTGTTGTTCCACCACTGACTGAATGATGAGGTACTGAAACATGTTGTTGTTCCACCACTGACTGAATGATGAGGGACTGAAACATGTTGTTGTTCCACCACTGACTGAATGATGAGGTACTGAAACATGTTGTTGTTCCACCACTGACTGAATGATGAGGTACTGAAACATGTTGTTGTTCCACTGACTGAATGATAAGGGACTGAAACATGTTGTTGTTCCACCACTGACTGAATGAAACAGTGTGTGTTATTGAACAGTGATGCAGGAAGTCTCATCTGTGTGCTGTCATGTCTCTCCAGGCCACCAGGGGGCGGAGGCCGAGCCGACAGGAGGACATTGAGCCAGATTATGAGGACATTGAGCTGGATAACCTGGTGTTCCTGCAGAAGAGGAAGGAGCTCAGAGAGCAGAGTAGTACCTCCAAAGACCTCCTCACGCATGCACGCACGCACACACACACACACACACACACACACACACACACACACACACAATCCATATGTCTTTTCTGACTTCCTGTCAGCACCAAGCCCATTGGTTCCTTCTGAAGACGTAGATCTTTAACTACAACTCACACATTTGGTTGAATTTGTAAAGTCAAAGCAGTCGGTGCAGTTTGAAACCAAAGACACAGCAACCCCGGCTGAATAATGTTATATTTAATAAAACTAGTGAAATCTGCATTGCAATACCTGATGCCAATGAATCCAGAGAGAACAGGAGAAAGGTGTTACACCGCCACCTGCTGGTGGATTTGAGCACATCGAGAGTTGGTGTTTTTCAAGCATTCAAAGCTCAGTTTTATAAAACCTGATGTTTTTCACACAAATGAAGAGCTTCACTTTAGCGTTCCCTTGTTGTTGACATGGCTGTTTTTTGGTCTGAGAAGTTTAGCCCAAAATGTAGCTTAACATTAATATTATAATACAAATCAAAACAAAAATTAATACTCTCAATGCTTCTTGTGTTTAAGGATCAGTGTTTCCCATACATTGAGAAACATTGGGTGCCCCCACAAATAGAATCAAATTCTGTGGGAAACACTGAGGATTTCATACATATTAAATCAAGAAAAAAAAATTATTTCACAAGAATTACCTTTGAAGTAATTTGTTTTAATTGATTGTAATTTGGTAAACAAAATAGTTTTTTTATTAAATGATGTCCTATTTACTGTGCTTAGTTTTGTAATTAAGATTTGAGCTTATTATATATCGTTAACGATTTGTTTTATTTGAGTTGTAATTCATTTGATATTTTGCATTTTCCTTAAATCCATTTAAGACCAAGACTTTGGCTTCTGATTTAGTAATTAAAACATCCTCCTAACTTACAAGTATTCTGCCTCGTGTGGTAATCAGCTGTTGGGCTTGCATTTAATAATGATTGCCATGAACATTTCATAAGATTCAATCAATTTCATAGTTACGGATTGTTCTCATTGATTAAGAATGATCCTTCATTTTGTGAACAAATATTGAGCTTTTTGCCTTTATCTTATAAGTTTATGCATTATGTATTTTTGTGTTGTATCACACGTTGTCTACTATGTGACCAAAAAAACAATAAAACTACTTTAATAATCCAGAAACCTCTGTGGATATTTATTCATGGTTTTCTTCTTGTTGGAATATTTTCTTTTAATATTTGTTACTTTCTTTGAATTTGCCATATAATACATAATATCCTTCCTACCTACCTACCTACCTACCTACCTACCTACCTACCTACCTACCTACCTACCTACCTACCTACCTACCTACCTACCTATCCATCTATCTCTCAGTCCCTGTGTCCTCCAGCAGAGGCGCTGTTTCCTCTGTCTATACCCATAAGCGGGGGAGTGAGAGGTGCATGAAATGGAGAAAAATGGCGGATCATGTGCAGGTAAGCGGAGGTTTGGTGTTTTTCTATCAGACAGTTCCTCCATGAGGGGAAACACAGAGAGCTGAGGCGGGTTGTGGAGCCTCTTGTCCCGGGTCGGAGGCTGCTGGAGGCGGCTGCGGGGATCAGAGCTCCGATAAACAGGGTTAAAACCGGGATGTTTGTGATGATCTGAGGCCTGTTGTTAGCTGTTAGCTTCTGGTTGCTCCTGTTCGCTTCAGAGTTAGCTTCTCTGTTAGCTACTTTGGTAGCTTCTCTGTAAGCTTCTGAAAAACACCGAAAACACCCGCGATGCACCCGGTTACAACCCGGGTGGTAAAACGTCCCAAACTCGCAATTTGACTCATTATTCAAACGGTTTGTGTCAACGTGATTAAATATTTATTTGGTGCCCCTGTTATGCTACAGCTAGCCGCTACATGCTAATGGCTAAGCTAACTGCTAAGCTAACGTTAGCGTCGAGACTTCTCCCGCGCGAGACCGTTTTGAAAACATGTTTTATTCTAATTCTTTTTTTTAAAACTGTTTCTCCGCGTGTTCCCTAATTATCTAGGGGGGTCAAAGGGAAGCAATACAACATGAAATAATCGGGAGGTAAAGAAGAAAGTGATTTGCAAAAAACAAAAGATGTTTAATTTATCAAGAGAGAGGGCTCACGAGACGATCTACAAAACAAACTAACGAGACACAATAGAAACCGCGTATAGCAGAAAGTGATGAAAGTAAACAAACAAATCAACTGTAAACAGACCCAATGAAACCCCGGCTCTCTGTCCCCATGTGTGCGATCATCATGTCGGGTTCAACTGGAGAGTTTGAATGAAAGGGCGATGTACACCTCAGTTGTTTATAAGTGTAACTAAGCAGTGCTTTTAATAATAATAATAATAATAATAATAATATATAAGCTTTATTTATATAGCACATTTCATACACCAGGTGCAGAATAAAGTGCTTTACCAATGTGGCACACAATACACATTTAAACGGGGAACCAACACATGTACATGGAAAACTTGCAGCAACATAATATATCATAGTTTTAAGACAAAATGAGGTCAAATGTGTGGTAATAACAATACAAAAAATATCCCTCTTTAAAAAATAAAAGAAGACATAATGAATAGATACAATACAAAAATATAATAAAAACAACGTGATAATTATAATAAAGGCTAAAAAACAACAACTTAAAAGGACATTTCGTAAATAAACCTGTTAAATAAGTCACTGTTTGTCTGTAACCCCTGGCTCCATGCCCCCAGGTGGTGTGCTGTCACCATGTCAGGGTTTGAATGAAAGGAGGCTGAGTGGTTTCTGTGTGTTGCTGAGCAGGGCTGTTCTCATTTAGTGGTTCAAAAATATTCTCCCCTGCTTTCGTCTCATCAATTTCTATTCCTCCGTTTCGTCCTAAGAGAGGCCATGCTGTTGATGCTGATGCTAACTTCATGCTGCTGATGCTAACTTCATGCTGTTGCTGCAGATGCTAACTTCATGCTGCTGATGCTAACTTCATGCTGCTGATGCTGATGCTAACTTCATGCTGTTGCTGCTGATGCTAACTTCATGCTGCTGATGCTGATGCTAACTTCATGCTGCTGATGCTGATGCTAACTTCATGCTGCTGATGCTGATGCTAACTTCATGCTGTTACTGCTGATGCTAACTTCATGCACCTTGTTGCTGATGCTAACTCCATGCACCTTGTTGCTGATGCTAACTCCATGCACCTTGTTGCTGATGCTAACTCCATGCACCTTGTTGTTGCTGATGCTAACTCCATGCACCTTGTTGCTGATGCTAACTCCATGCACCTTGTTGCTGATGCTAACTCCATGCACCTTGTTGCTGATGCTAACTCCATGCACCTTGTTGCTGATGCTAACTCCATGCACCTTGCCGCTGATGCTAACTCCTTGTTGTTGTTGTTGTTTGAATGGAGGCTAGCAGGCAGGAGATTATTCAATAATAGTGAGGGTCTTTATTTTAACTGCCATACCATGAGAAATCAGTAGGGATCGTTATCGGCCGATATTCACTCTCTGCCGATCGATCGGTGCTCTCTATAAATGCCGATCGGGAGAGCCAATCACATGACGTAAAAATACATGACACTTTTCTCTGTGCGCGGCAAAACAAGCTCGCCAAAATGGGGTGTGCTACCCCTGATCAGTACAGCTAATCATAATGAAGGTCATTATCTGAACTGCCACACCATGAGAAATCAGTTGTTTATGACATGGTCTAATGCTAATAGCATAAAGCTAATTGGGAGCTGATGTGCTGCACAGAGTTTATAGCTAATCTTTAACTCTTTTACATTCACACACAGTGTATTTAAAATATGCAACTTTCTGTATTAAAGCAAAGGGGAATGCAGAATGCACTCAAGTGTACTTTATAATAACATATAGCAGTGTAATAGTGAGAGTGCTCCCTCTGATGAGCACAGCTGAAAGACGTGCACATTGAATTATTGCTGGAGAACACAGGTTCTAAATACATAAATAAATGTAGTTTAATGTTGCTCTAAAGATAAGGAATTCATAGCACTGATTGTTTTTATTGCACAATACATGTACACTTTGCAATAGTATGAATGTTATTAGTGAACTAGAATATTGTAATCGTGCTAAAGAACACGTTTAATTATTGTATCAGAGTAACTATAGATATGGCACTACAAGAGTATTTATTCATTTAATCATGACGCTTTATTATTGCCAAACCATGTCTGTAATTAATGCACTCTAATAAATATGTTAATAGTAGTATTTAGTAGAATAAGCGTATTGATCACACCACAGCCTATTTAATTATTGAGGGTAGTATGAATGCAGTTATTGCATCAGAATACATTTGATTATTGCACGAAAATAAATGTTTTTGCAAAAGAATGAATGCAAACGTTGGCAATAAAATAGTTTATTTATAAATGTAATAATTGCATTCGTATGAAATATAAACCTTGGGTGCCTTTTTAATTATTGCAGCAGTACTCATCACACTAGAATACATCTAATTATTGAACTAGATCCGGTCATTGCGACTTTTGGTTTGTTTACATCTTGAGTTTATAGTAATGTATATATTATTTGGGATAAAGGTGAGCTCTGCAGCGTCTCTCTGGATCCCGTCCAAACACCATTTATTTCATTAGTTTGTAACATGAGCTGCAAGGAGAGAGTCCTGATCCGTTTGTAAAATATATTCTTGCGTAATGTCGGGCAGTTTCATCAAGTCTTTTATCTTTGAAGGGTCACCTGTACACGGCGTCTTTCCTGCTGTTTTCTGACAGAATAAACAATAAACCAAATATCGGTAAAATACAGCTTAATTGATAATTCAAATAATTCCAAGTTGCCGCTTTAAATGTATAAACCGAAAAGATGAAACTACCTCTGGAGGAAACACAGGGATTTGATCCTTTGTAGCCCATTTACATGCACTAACACCTAAAGGCCCATGACACACCAAACTGACACCCAAAGAACACGTCCCGACGGACCCGACTGTTGTGTCGCCTCACGTCTCTGCGTCTTGGCCAACAGTCGCACTGGAAACACACCCGCAAAGACTTCAGCCGACGGCCAAGCAGCACGTACGCACTGCGAATGCGTGAGTTGGCAATACCTCTCCTTACCAGCAGGCTGGCGGGTAGTGTGTATTCGTCATTCAAAAGAGGAACCGGAAGACAGACTGCGTGATATATACAAACAACAAATAGCGTGCGTTCCATTTTCACTCTCGTCCATCACAGACTGTTTCACATAGCGACTTATAATCCAAAACATGTTTAGTGCTGGTACTGGAAAATGGAAACTGATAGCCGTCTGTGTGTGCCTTCTTCATCGTTTGTTTGCGTACAGGGCTCGACATTTATAAATGGCCCGCTGGCCCGGAAGCACTATCAGACACCCCGGGCCAGCATGGCGTACTTTCCACTTGCCCGCTCGGGCACTAAAAATATTGCTTTAAACAAAGATGGTCCTGTGGTGTTGGTATTTTGACTAGCAATTTTGTTAAATTGTTTTGTTTCTTAACGCTACAACATCGTGTTTCGTGAGGCGGTTGTCGTTGTTTGGTGAAAAGCAAACAGCTTGTTTTTGCGGCAGAGCGCAGCGCGAGCAGGCTCCCGTGAGCGGTTTTTAATACCAGCGGTAACCGGCCAAGCGCCGGGCAAAAAACTATCTTCAAATAAAGAAAGTCACCGGAGGATTGAAGGAGAGTGACAGGGAGAGAAGGTTTTCAGCCACACTGGCTTGATGGATGGAGTTGGCTTCAATATGATGATATAAACAAGGTCTTCTGTCGGCTCTGTGCATCCATTGCCGACCTGTGCTGACAAGAAGTGAAGAGTAAGAAAATATAAAGTTATATTGGCTTCAGGGAAATGTCCCAGCAGTTTGGGAGAAGGAGGTTATAATCTAATCTATTACATATTTCTAACTCCTGATGACAGGAAGGCAGAAGCGCATTATACAAATAATAACACTCATAATAATGATAATGGCAAAACATTTTTTAACAATGACCACAATATAATTATTAATAAACCAAATATGAACAATTGAGGGAAATGAGGAAGAACGGATATGATTCAAATGTTGTAGTTCAAGTAGTAATGTAGTTTGTGCACAAATTAGGATTGCAAAAAATGTGTTCATTTTCTTCTATTAGTGGAATTGTACCTTAATGTCTCCACCTGGCGCACCTCACTTCCGTTTCGCTTCTCATTCGCCTAAACTGAACAGCCAATCAGAGTGATTTCTTTTGCCGACAGCCGAAAAAGACACGCCGTTGCGGGACACCCCAATCTGAGTAGGGCGACAGGACGCTCATCGACGGCCAGACATCGGCTTGGTGTGTCCGCGCTTTTAGAGACGAAAGAAAGCAGAATAGGGCTTCTCTAACACAAAGTCAAATATTGCCTGTTCAGCTTCTTAAATGTGACTCTCTGTTAAACGCTCCCTTTCAATGTTATGTTGTCACAGAGTTTCCAAGATGTTTTGCGCCGTGATTAATTTCTCTTCTTTTTGCATTTTTAAGTAAGAATTGAAGTCTGCTGGACGTTAGCGATGCTTCAGCGGAGAGATACATGCTGAGTCCACACTAAACTATGCGTGCACTGGTGTCAAACCAAAA